TGCGGGGCGACCCCTTCCGGCTTCTGCCCTCCACTTGCGTCGTTGATGGCGTTCCGCGCACGGGGCAGTTACGCGCGCATAGAGCGCTCCATTGGGAAGGGAAAAGGGGGGAGGGGAGAGCGGCAGCTCGGCCAATGAGAAGACAAAGAGCCCCTTGGGAGGCAGGGCTGAGGTGCGGTGCGAGGCAGTCATTGGTCGAAGAGAGCGAGTGGGTGGTGCTGTTATGGGAGGAAGGAAGCTGACAGGAAGCGTTCCGCGCACGGGGCAGTTACGCGCGCATAGAGCGCTCCATTGGGAAGGGAAAAGGGGGGAGGGGAGAGCGGCAGCTCGGCCAATGAGAAGACAAAGAGCCCCTTGGGAGGCAGGGCTGAGGTGCGGTGCGAGGCAGTCATTGGTCGAAGAGAGCGAGTGGGTGGTGCTGTTATGGGAGGAAGGAAGCTGACAGGAACAGCCCGAGGCTGTTCAACCGTCCCTTGAATTGCCGTGGTTGCTTCCCTCCCTCCCCCCCGCCTGCCAGTTGCCATGGCAACAGCCAACACAGGCCTCAGGGGCAAGCCCGCTGCCCTCCCTCCCCCAAGGCTCCCATAGTAGCAACCCCCTTCAACAGCAGTTCCTGTTTCCTAACAGAACTCTCCAGGGTGGTCAAATACCTGCCAGGGGGTAACCCTGAGTGGCTGTGCCAGCACAGTGCCATAATGGCACGGGGCATGTTCTCCCATGGACGCCAAGGCGATGTGTCACCAGGGCGGTACATGAGCATGATGTCAGGTCTCCGCCAAAGAGCATTGCCTTGCATCCTGTTTTGGCACCGTGTTGCAAGTGGACATGACGTGTACTGCCATAGGGTCTGGGCACCCCAAGAGGAAAGCTCATGAAAGTGTCCTGCGAGGGGGCGCAGCCTGAGACCTATTATGTACGGATGGGGACCCGCAAAATCAAAGCCAAATAAACACCTGTCTGTGCAAGATGAACCATGTCAATGGTTGTGTTGTGGCAGCCATTTTTCTTCTGATGCAGAGAGAGAAGAGAACTAGCGTTGCCAGATGGTTTAGCCAAAAATACTGAACCCCACCCCACCCAAAAAAAAAAACACCCAGGAAAAAATTCTGTTGAGAAAAAAAAGGGGGGAGACCAACGCTGTTGAGCAAAAAAAAAAAAGAGAGAAAAACGCACTGTGGCCCGGCACTCCTCACTCCCCTGCCCTCACCAGACATGGCACGGGAAAATTGTCCCCGACGGGCTTCCATTCAAGGGGAAACAGTAAATACTGGACATTTTACATGTCCAATATTTTTTTTTTACCGGATGGGGGATGCGAAAACCGGACCGTCTGGGTGAATACCGGAAATCTGGCAACCCTAAAAAAAACACCCCATAAAAACCAAGGCAGCCTCCTAAAATACTTGTCCATCTGTTCACACTGTGTTTTACTATGATAATTGAGATGAGGCATTCCATATGCTTTATGAAATATGCTTTTGATATGAAGATGTCATAACCGAGATATGCTTGATGAAAGATGGCTCATGTAACATATCATTAAAAAGGCTGAAATTTACTGAATAGGATAATCCTATTTGCATGAATGTATCATTTTTGTAAATGAAGTTTGTAAATGAATATCATTTTTGTAAATGTAATTGACACTGGTGTCTGTAATTTTATATTTGATGCCTTCCCAAGCTTGGTATTTACCCACCTCCCAACCCAGAAACTCACAAAAATAGCAAGTCTGTAGGGCAGCTCCAGATCTACTGTTTGCCAGGGCTGTTTCTAGGGGCCACGGGGCAACTACCCCTAGTGCCCTAGATGCATAGCTGTGATCTGCCCCTGCACACACTCTTTTCCCAAGCCTCACCCTGCTCTGGCCCTGCCCCTTCCTGTCCGAAGACCCCTCCCTGAGCAATGAGCTGGGGGATTACCGGGGATCTGGTGCAGGGTAGCAGAGGTAGGGCATGGCCCAAGCCGCTGCATCCCTTGGCTCCCTGCGGAGCCATTAAGTAAACAAACCGGAGCAGCTCATTAGCAGTTTTCTCAAAGTGGGCTTATGGCCCACTTTGAGAAATACTGCGCGGCTACGTCTACACTGGCATGATTTTCCGAAAATGCTTTTAACGGAAAAGTTTTCCGTTAAAAGCATTTTCGGAAAAGCACGTCTAGATTGGCAGGATGCTTTTCCGCAAAAGCACTTTTTGCGGAAAAGCGTCCGTGGCCAATCTAGACGCGGTTTTCTGCAAAAAAGCCCTGATCACCATTTTCGCGATCGGAGCTTTTTTGCGGAAAACAGTACTGTGCTGTCTACACTGGCCCTTTTGTGCAAAAGTCTTTCGGAAAAAGACTTTTGCCCGAATGGGAGCAGCATAGTATTTCCGGAAAAGCACTGACGATCTTACATGAGATTGTCAGTGCTTTTCCGGAAATTCAAGCAGCCAGTATAAACAGCTGGCAAGTTTTTCCGCAAAAGCAGATGATTTTGCGGAAAAACTTGCCAGTCTAGACACAGCCCTCTAGTATATTGTATCTGGTTAACAACACACAGCAAAACTACAGAATTTAGCAAAGACAGTGAAGGAGAAGCCCATGTGTGGCTACCTAGATTCCTCTATCAAAGCCATCCCTGTAGTATGTGAATAAATGAAACTGAGGGCACGTCTAGACTACCGCGTTTTGTCGACAGATACTGTCGACAAAACTTCCGTCGACAATTTGCGTCCAGACACATGGAGTTCTGTCGACAAAGCAAGCCGCTTTGTCGACAGAAGTCCGTAGTCTGGACGCAACGTTACAGGCAATAACACCTTCTGTCGACAGAACTCTGTGGTAGTGTAGACGCTGGTATTGTTTTGTCGACAAAAGTCCACTTTTGTCGACAAAACTAGGTAGTCTAGACACACCCTGACAGAGACTAGGGGAAGGAACTTAAGGGTACAGATTAATTATCATCAGCGGTAAATTAGGGACATCAGAGTGTACATGCCAACTTTGAGGGAAAGAAACATGGACTTTTTAACAAATACAAACATTCAGGACAAGACTCTCTCAGTAAGTCACTGATATGGTCTCAATACTCAGAGCTTAACTCTATTAGAAGCCTATCTTTCTTACCCTTTTCACATGCACCAAAAAATCTTCAGGCTGGAAAGGGAACAAGAGAATCTCAGTTGCTTCATCATGTGTGCCTGTGTGTGTGTGCAGTGTCAAGAATTCTGCATTATTTTCCCAGTGGTATTACTGACTCACTGTGTGAGCAACTAAGTTACTATGAATTTAGATACCATAGAGAT